GCAGGAAGCTGAGGACAGACTTGTCTCCGGAGCTTAACGACAGTGATTGACATGTAAAAGGTGAAGACTTTAAGACCGTCTCCAAGCAGCTTGACGTCCCTCTGACTGCAGCTGCACAGATTACTCAGAAGTTTAACGTCCACAGGACTGGAGACAACCTGCCAGGACGTGTCCACAAGAAGAACATTGATGACAAACTGAAGAGATGGACGGTATGAGTCCAGAACAACTTCCAAAGAGATTAGAGGTGAACTTCAAGGTCAAAGGTCATCAGAGTCAGAGCTCTTCATCGGTCTCTGTTTGAGACAACGTGGACTTGATGGAAGACGACTGAGGACAGCAAGTCAGAAAACACTAGACTGGAGTTTGTCCCAGTGCTGACTGACCAACAACAAAGATTCTAGGACAATGTATTTTGGACAGAAGAGACAAAACTGGAGCTTCTTGGCAACACGTTCATCAGCTCTGTGTTCAGACCTAAACCTGAAACAAGGAGCAGAACCTGGTCCCTGCAGTGGACCATGGAGGAGACTCGGTTCTGTTCTGGTCTGCTGCATCTCAAGGTGTGCAGTGAAATCTCAAGACTGTCGAGGCTTTCTGGAGTGAACTGTGCTGCCCAGGGTCAGGAAGCTTGGTCTCAGTCGCAGGTCATGGGTCCTCCAACAGAACAACGAGCCAAACATCTAAAAACACCAGAACCAAACACTGGACTGTTCTGAAGTGTCCTACTGGGACCTGATCTAAGTCCTGTTGAACATCTGGAGGAGCTGAAACATCTGGAGAGGGAACCTTTCAAACCTGAGACAGCTGGAGCAGTTTGATCATGAGGAGTGGACCAGAACACCTGTGGACAGGTGGACCGGAACACCTGTGGACAGGTGGACATGAACACCTGTGGACAGGTGGACCGGAACACCTGTGGACAGGTGGACCGGAACACCTGTGGACAGGCGGACCGGAACACCTGTGGACAGGTGGACATGAACACCTGTGGACAGGAACACCTGTGGACAGGTGGACATGAACACCTGTTGACAGGTGAACATGAACACCTGTGGACAGGTGGACCGGAACACCTGTGGACAGGCGGACCGGAACACCTGTTGACAGGTGGACACAAACACCTGTTGACAGGTGGACCGGAACACCTGTGGACATGTGGACATGAACACCTGTGGACAGGTGGACCGGAACACCTGTTGACAGGTGGACCGGAACACCTGTGGACAGGCGGACCGGAACACCTGTTGACAGGTGGACACGAACACCTGTGGACAGGTGGACATGAACACCTGTTGACAGGTGGACCGGAACACCTGTGGACAGGTGGACAGGAACACCTGTGGACAGGAACACCTGTGGACAGGTGCAGAAGTGCCAGAGCGTCACATGAATCACTCGATTTCCTCAAAAGTTTGAGCGACAGATATTAAGGGACCGTCTTTTTGTCGAGTCCAGTTTGATTAGTTTATTTATTTATTTATTCTTTTTTATATATTTTTTTTTAACCCAACTTCAAAACAAACGACCGATTTTCTCTCGTGGATTTTTAGTGATTTATTTCTCATTGTTAGTTTGAGTTTAAAGTTTTTTCAGTGACCTTTGTGGGTTTTCCGTCTCGAACAAAAAGGCACAAACGTGTTTTTGCGTCTGTTGATACGATTCGAAACAATTCTTAACTTTCAGTGGGATCACCACCTGCTGGGTGTCCCTGCAGCATTCCTCTCCAGTCCCAGCTCCAGTCCCAGTACTCTGATTCTGGAGGACATGGGCCATCTAGTGGCAGAAAAAGCTGTCTCACTCAATCAGACCTAATCCCCTGTCTGTCTGTCCCCCAGATGTCTGTCTTTTTAACTCCAACCTGCAGACAGGCTGAGCTCTAACCAATCAAACCTGTGATTTTATTTTATCCCACAATGTGATCTTTGAATGGCCACACAAGGTGCTGCTACACTCACCTCTACCTCTCAACCCTCTCCCCCCTCCCCAGTGGGTCAGGGTTAATGCGGTGTTAAGAGGAGTGTTAGGGTACATGACACAGAGGTCAGCTGGTGCACTCAGCATTTCATTGTCTTCAGTGTTGTGTGGTCCTCTAGCACTCGTTCTAAAGACTCTGGGGTGTTCTCTGCATCGTTTCTGTTGTGTGTGATGTTTCATTTCCACTCATGTAGCTCCCTCGGTGCTGTTGGGACTCTGTCGAATACACTCTGTGGTGGCTGCTGTGTATATTTCTTCATTGTCAAGGTTTGGGTTTTTCTCCCCCCACACAAACACCGTTGGATTTCTTGGTTTGCTGTCGAGGCTCATTGTGTCGCAGCAACACAGTTGCTCAGTTAGCGCAGGTGTCTGTGTGGGTGGTGGTGACGGTGCTGTCAGAATATTCCTCGGCTTCTTCCACTGACCTGAATGTGTAAAATGTCCCTGTCCTTGTTACTCGATTTGTTTTATTTTTTTATATATATATTTTGTTTTTAGATATGATGAATGGATCAAAGCGGACAAGATCGTGCGCCCCGCCAATAAGAACGTACCAAAGATAAAGCACCGCAAAAAAATAAAGGTACGGTTTCAGAGCGTGGTCACTTGTCAGCGCGGGCCCGGTTTGTTGGCTGTGGTGACGTGACGCGGTGACTCTGTTCGATTCTGACAGAACAAAGCCGAGAGGGAGCGGGACAGGTTGGACAGGCTCGGCGACAGGGACGTCCTCGGCCCCTTGTCCAACGCCAACCGTGTCCCGCGCTCCAAGTGCGGCCTGAGTCAGGACGTGTTTTCCAAGACCGACGAGGACGAGGACAAAGGGACTCGGCAGTCTTCGGTCAAGTCCATAGAAATCACCTCCATCCTCAACGGCCTGCAAGGTAGCTGAACTCAAACACAACCTGCGTTCAGACTCGTGTCTTTTTATCGTCGCTAACAGATGCTCTGTCTTCTCAGCCTCCGAGATGTCCACGGACGAAAGCGAGCACGAGGACGGAGACGACGATGAAGATCAACCGAGTGGCAGCATCAGAAAAGACCAAAGTGAGCCGCCTCAGATAGAGGGCTGGGAGAGCGGAGCGCCCTCTGGAAGACCCAAAGCCTCCTCTGCGTCGGGAAGGAGCCAGGAAGTGGCGAGCGTGGAAAATGCTGACGCTTCGAAGCGTGGAAGTCCACCAGACGTGGAGGGAGAAGTGAGCACCCGGAAGAGGAAATCTGACGGCGCTGTTGAAAGGATCCCCAAAGGACAATCCAAAGCCAAGACCCGGAACACCAGGAGCGCAGACTGGTTACCTGGCGGGTCTCCTCGGAAGCTGGATGAGAGGGGAGCCGGTCCTGGAGGGGAGAGGGGGGCGTCATCCTGCAGCAGTTCAGATGATGACAGCACCGCGCTGACGGAGTCCCCGGCTGCAGAGACTGAACGAAGTCGCCCTAAAACCAAAGGTTCATCTTCCAAGAAGTACAACGGGATGAGGGAAAAGAACATCAGGCAAGGTGGCTTCTGGGAGATTCCCGAAAAGCGGGCCAAAGTGTCCAGTAACGCGGAGGAAAGGGTTCTGGTTCGCCCTAAAGGACAGAAGGACGTGTGGTCCAGCATCCAGGCCCAGTGGCCCAAGAAGACTCTCAAAGACTTGTTCTCCGACTCGGACACGGAGGCTACCAATTCCCCTCCCCCGCCGGTACCTTCACGTCTGGACGAGCCCGGCGTCGAAGACGATGCTGGACCCGAGGACGAGGCCTCGGAGGAGCAGACGGAGAAGCTGCAGGAGTTTCCGAGCAGCGGAAGTAACTCTGTGCTCAACACTCCGCCGACCACACCCGAGTCTCCCTCGGGTGGGGGCAGTGCTGTGGAAGACTTGTGCCCAGCGCAGCCGTCTCCCCCGCCGCCTTCGCCTCCGCCCGCCTTGCCTTCAGAGCTGGTTTCTGACGCCCTTCCTCCAGACCCTGCGCAGGAGGAAGTGGCAGGCGGACGCAGCGAGACGGACAGCAGCACCGTGGAGGTGGAGAGTCTGGGCGGGGAGCTGCAGGAGCTCCCGCAGGACAACGTGGCGGGCTCCCCCTCGAAGGCGTTCGACGTCAGCCCCTCCTGCAACAGCAGCAGCAGCTGCAGCTTAGAGCTGAGCGGCAGCAGTCAGCCGGACAGCGAGCAGAAGTCCAAAGGTACAAGCACGAGCAGATCTGTCACATAAAACCTGAGCACGCCACCGTTCATACCAGAGTGTAGACGAACACCCAGTGATCATTTCCTGGAGGTTTCAGTAAAATCTGTCCCGTGCTTTATGATCAATCCATCACTTTTTGTTCAGGTGGTGAAATTCAGCCTGTTTTGTTTCTGCAGCATCTGTGGGTCAGAAGCGGCAGAAAGAATCGCCGACGGGTGGAGCCGCAAAGAAACACAAGCCAAACCGCAAGAGCCTCGGTGTGCCTCCCAAAAAGAACAGGAAAACAGGTACGAGGCGCCGGAGACCCGGTTTCGAACGGCTCTCTGAGAAACGTCCAGACCAGAGAGGAAGTTTTGTTCTCCCCGCTCGTCTTTTCATCGTTCCGTCTTTCGCCCCGCAGCCAACAGCAGCGACAGCGAGGACCAGTCCGTCGTGGAGGGCGCTGCCAAACCGGCAGCCTCTAAGAACCACGCCCCGGACCTGAAGGCCTTGCCCAGGTGTCACGGCCGCTTGCCTCCCTCCAGCCATAAATACCACAAGCAGGGCGACGCAGATCACGCCCAGCACAGGGACGGCCACGGAAGACTCCCGCGGGTGTACAAGTGGAGCTTCCAGATGTGTAAGTGACACGTTTTATTAACTCATCACACAGGATGTTAAAAGTTGGCGATTTATCGCCTGGCAACAAGACAGATGTTTTTTTACGAGTGCCTTTTTGAAAATTTGATTTTTACTTTTACTTTTTGGAGTGATGTCCAAGCCTGTCGTGATAAACAATAAATCAATTAATCGCATGATGAATGAAAATTATCAACCTCGTTTTCATTTATCGGCTTTATCGTTTCTTCGTGTCTCTCTTTCTACTGAAGACACTGGAAGACAAAAGACTCGACTCAGGTGCTCTTCACTGACTCCTCCCCTTCTCTTATAAAATCCATTTTAACCGTCCAATATCACGTTTATGGATCTTTTAAAGCAGCTAAGCTGAGAAGCTAAGCTACGAGCTAAAGCTAACAGGCCGATCTCAGGAAAAAACCTCCGTCTTGTTGAAGCTCCAAAATTCACAGTTGAAATCCGTGCCTTCGTCTAAAAAGTTATTTTTACAAATACGATAATTATCGGTACACCTGGCAACACTGAACCCATGTCACGTCAAGGGGCCTTCCTCCCATTTTTCTTAGAGACACGCTGCTCGCTCCCTCACTATCCATCCTTCGGTTCAGTCTTATACTGCCATCCAGTGGTTGAAAAAAGATACTACATACAAAGCAAATTAGCCAACATTTTTTTCTTAAATTTGACCATAATTAAAAATTATGGTCAAATTTCAAACAATATTATCGTTTATCGTAATAATTTCTGAGACAATTAATCGCACAGGAAAATCTGTTATCGTGACAGGTCTAGTGATATCATTGGGAGTTCCAGCTTTATATTTAAAAAGAGTTCACACAAAAAAGGGGGCTGCGGTAGCTTGGTGGTCAGTGCTGCGGTCCTGTAATCCTGAGGCTGCGGGTTCGAGCCCAGGCTGCGTCGGGAAGCGCGTCCGGCGTAAAAGAACTGCCAAATCTTTCATGTGACTTCGCTCATTGTGGCGACCCATGAAGAAGAAAGCAGCTGAAAGAAACTTATTTAAAAAGGGTTCACAATGACACCGCACATTATACGAAGGGATTTCCCAGCGCTACAGCAGACGTCGAAGAAAAAAATAAATGTTGACTTCAGAAAGAAGTAAAATAATTTTTTCTGTCAGGAAACTTTAAAGTTAGTTTACCAGGATTAATTGCTCTTGTCTTTTTATACACAAATCTTTCAACTACAGCCGAAATCACTACGTATACAGTTGTTGTTGTTGTTGTTGTTGTTGTTGTTGTTGTTGTTGTTGTTGTTGTTGCAGCCTGTATTCATTCTGTAATAAATTAAAAGTAACTATTCATACAGAAAAAGTACAAACAAAATGGTGGAAAACCAACAAGGAAATTTGCTAATTGGACAAATATGGAGGTGGAGCAGTGGGTAGAGCTGTCGCCTCACAGCAAGTAAGACGCAGGTTTGTCTCCCGGTTTTGTCCGGGTACTCCGATTTCCTCCAAAACAAAAACGTGCACGTCAGGTTCATTAGTAGCTCTAAGCTGTCCCTGGGTGTAAACGGTTGTCTCATTTTGTCTCTGTGTCCTTGTGATGGACTGGAGACCTGTCCAGGTGTCCCCTGATCTGGAGATGGACACCAGCTCCCAGTGAAGAAGCTGGATGGAGGAACGCTGATTTGTCGAACGTTTGAAGTTGTTGAATCGGGCGTTCTGTCTTTGCTCACCTCGTTTTCTCGCCTCTTCTCAGCCGATCTGGAAAAGATGAGCGGTCTGGAGAGGATTTCGTTCCTTCAGGAGAAACTGCAAGACATCAGGAATCACTACCTCTCCCTCAAGTCCGAGGTGGCCTCCATCGACAGGAGGCGGAAACGCATGAAGAAGAAGGAACGGGAAAGTAAGTCGGCTCGTGGCGTTCACTTCACGAGCGACTTTAGTTTGATTTAATTTACCGTTTTACTTTTTGTGCTGCGTCTCGGTTTAGAGACAGGCAGGCTATGGCAAGCTGATTGTGTCATTAATAGCCACTTTTTACCTATTACATGATACAACGGCATGCCATAAAATTCGAGTGCCATCTAATGGCTGAAAATAGTAGTGTTCAATATTTTCAGTCAGAATGAATTAAAACTGTCATGTCTCAGCCAATAATTAGTTTATAAATATGAGAAAAAAACATAAATAAGTCGCTTCGGCGTGTAAGTGGCAGGGTGTGCAAATTAGGCAAAAAAACGTGACTTACAGGCCGAAAAATACGGTAATCGTCTTGTTTCCTTTTTGAAAAAGTTTGAGTGAAAAGGTTGAACAAGTAAAATAATTTAATGAACCAGAAACAAACTTTTACAGTTTAAATCCAACAGAAGGATTTCCTCCATGTCTGCTTTGATTTGAAGCACCTTTCTGTTTTTTGTTTTTTTATTCAGGGTGAACAGACGCTCTAACAAGTCGCTTTTCATTCCACAGGCGCAGCGGCGGCTTCCTCCTCCTCCTCCTCGTCTTCGCCGTCCTCGAGCTCGCTGACGGCCGCCGTCATGCTGACGCTGGCGGACCCGCCGGTGTCGTCCTCCTCGTCGCAGAACTCCGGGGTGTCGGTGGAGTGCAGGTGACAGGACGAAGCAGCAGGGAGCGAACCGCACTGAGCACTTAACCAGCAGCCCGGGGTCACCGGACCCACGAGTCGACCTGAAACTGTAACCGCTGGGGCACAAGACGTTTAAAAAAAAAACGACTCGAGACGCGAAACAAGCACTATTTTCTACTGACAACTGTTTCCTTGGCAAGCTAACGGCACTTAAGTGCACTTTTATGACGATTGTGTAAGGGGATAAAATTTGTCAAATCCTTCAGATGTTTTTAAAAGTCTTGTTTAATTGAACATTTCCAATAATTGTTTTTTTTTTTTCAATAACTGTTTCCATTTGATATCATCAGAGGGGATCGTTCGAAGCTCGACACGGATCAGTACTGCGGGCTCTTAAGGTACTCGCTGCAACGTGTGAAACCAAAAGAAATAAAAAGTTTATACGGCATCAAACGGTGCCGCTCGACAGAGTTTACTCCGGTAGTTTTACGGATACGACTCGGAAACGCCGGCACGCGCTCAACGTAAACAAAAACCACGTGGAAGCTCGAGTCGCGTGATGGTCAAATGTAGAACTATTTTTTTCAGTTTATTCTGATTACACAATCAGGCTTAATAAAAACTTTAATAAATAAAACGCCTTTATGAAAAGAAATATATCAAATCACAATAAAATCCAACAAACGGGCCTAATTTTGTTACGGTTATTCAAACTAATTTTCCACAAAGATAAAACCTAAAGACGTGCAGAGAGGTTTAGATTTTATCACATTTATGTCTTGTGTGTAAAAACCAACAACTGTCGTTACAGATCTTTATTTTTTTAACGTTATAAACTATATTTTTATACGTGTAATTTATAAAACGCCCGAGCTGAACCGACGACCCAAACGACGAGCGGCTCTTCTGAAACGAACGTGGCGGACATTCTTCGGTGGAAGAACAAGAGCGGCTGAGGAAAAGAGAAAGATCGGGCGAGAAAAGCGACGGCAATTATCCGCGTTTAAACAAAAACAAACGAGGCGTTTTCACTAAACTGTTTCCGTTTACCGTTTCAAGCCGTCTTTAAATCTGCCGACTTCGCTCAACGAATCTGAGCGTAGAGACGAACGCGCGACGGCCGTCTCCGTCCCGATTCCGCGGACGCCGAACGAACACGGTTGCCAGACGGTCACACGTTATTTGAAGACGCTAACCGAGGAGTTTACACCGTTCTTCGCGACTTTGCAGCGAGTACCTTTAAGGCGTAGGCAGCGGAAGTAGGAAAAGCGGGCGACTTTGCCGTGTTGCTTCGTGTTTCGCCGTCTGGTCCTCGTAAAACCCTCGGCGGACGAACGTGGAACGATACTGTAGTGCCTTTTTGTTTTTTCTCCGCGGGGCACTTTGAAAGGTTTGAATCCCCCATCCTCCTCAGCTCAGAGCTGAAATTATGCCCCCCCACACATTTTTTAATAAAAAAGACTGAAGAAAGCTGTGAGCGAGCAGGCGGCAAAGGGTCCCACAGAACGTTTTCAGAAGAGTCGGCGAAGCAGAACTCGTGTACTGGATCACCCGTGACCTACTACTGAATCCTCGTCCAGCTTCGGTATGACTGTCGACGCCGGCAGTGCCACATGTGCAATGATGAAAGTGCTGAACGCTCATCTTATTTAGCTTTTTCTGCCTTTTTTTGTTGTTTCTGTTCTGTTTTCATGACCCATTTAAGCCCCCGTCCAGTCCCGGATGACGTCTGACTGGATCAAATACTCGAGTACTGCCATTAAAAAGCAGAAAACGCGAAGTTCTGTTCGTTTCCGCCGCATTCAGAAAGCAACAAATACCCGTATGGTCTAGTCTCCGTATCTTCCTCATCCACACCTGAACCGTTTTCTGTTCCCGTACCAGACTAAAGGTAGAGATATTGTAAATGTGCATTTATATCATAACGTGACGTACGTGGAAACATTTCTCCCAGACCTCTCCGGCGTTTTCCTTTGTACAGAACCCCTGCACTGTACAGAAAAACCTGAAGTTACGTTTTGTTCGGCACTTGTATGTAATTGTAAGCTTTTGTTATACATTTGTATATTGAGAAGTGTTTTGAGTCAAGCTATTTAATATCTTGCACTGTTAATAATATGTACTTTTTCTGTACAGACAGTTTTAAATGTAGTTTGAGAGGAAAAACTGAGGGTTCCAGCGCGTTCATTCGTCCTTTTTTAAGGTTCCTTCATGTTCTTGTTCAAATCCCAATTCTTCTTTTCACTTCCCCGTCCCGTTTTTAACTTCATGTTCGTTTTAGTTTGTGTTGTTTTTTTCACGTTTGTTTGGGAAGAATGTTGGTGCCGGATGCAACTCGGCCTGAAGCTGAAACTCTACGAGCCTGGACGTGGAAAACGGTGAGCATCGCAGATTAAGAGACGAACGAGGGGAGATGCTCAAAAGTATTTATTAGGCTCATCTGACGATGGTCTTTGTGTAATTTATTGTAAAAATGTAAGCAAAGCAGAAGCCTCTGTTTGAAATAAATGCCATAGTTTGTGAACGACTCGTCTCTTATCAGTTGCTGCTTTTCAACACTTTAAATACAAACTAAAACAAATCTAAACTTGTGCTTTTCTAGATAATAAGACTTAAGTGTCGACTATATCACACTGATTAAGCATACTTCTTGTTTAACTACATTTGTCCAACAAAGGCATGTGCAGCTCATTGAATATAGTTTTCTTTGTTTTTAAAGCACATGTCTTACAAACGTTTGATATTATAATATTTATAAGTAACGTAAAGGGAGGTTTTCGCAAAGTCTCCATCCAGTTTTATGCAAAAATGAGAAAAAGATGCAGATATTCAGAAGATTAATTAACCTGTCGAGCGTGTGAAACAATTTATCGGGGTGTGGTAATGAACAGCGAGCAGTTTTTCCTGAAAATTCTCAAAAAAGAACAAGTGAAACAAAACATAATTTATAAAAAATATATATTTAAAACGACCGTCTCATCGGTTGTTACAAGATATTCAATAAGCTACAACTATTTAACCAACTTGTCTGCCTTTATAATAAACAGGTTTTAATAATTAAAATGCAATATACCATAATGAAGCTATTCTCCTGTTTCCAAATATGGAAATAACTGCATCCGGTCGACAGTACGCATGCGTGAAGTAGAATTGCGTCACTAGCTCCTCGCGCTCTTCCGCAGCGGCGTGTTAGCTGCTAACCGCTGTTCTAGTTAGTTCTTAAGCACGATGAGCGGCAGAACGACTGCGGTGTTTGCGGGGACATGCGGAGCCCTTTTTGTCGCATACTGTATTTATTTTGACCGGAAGCGACGGAGTGACCCGCGCTTCAAAGAGAAGCTGCGCGAGCGTAAGTGTCGAAAACGTGCTAGCTGGCTAACGTTAGCATCGTTAGCCTGCGTGTGATGGGCGACTTGAAAAGACGCCGCAGCGAGAAGTTTGTCACATACGTTACATTTTTTACGTAATTCCAACTTGTCACGGGGTATTTGTTGTAACTAAATAAATTAAATGATAAAAAATAATCACGTGCTTCACGTTTAACCTCGAAGTAAACGGCTAAAAGGTGTTCGTTTCACTTCTCAGGTAGAAGAAAGCAAAACGTTTGTAGTGAGAATGCCGGCCTCTCAAAGGTGAGAAACGCGAGGCGAAAACATTTAAATAGATGCTCTTTTTGTCCGTCTTAGGCAGCCAGTAACTTTCACAATGTTGGTTTGTTTTGAAGCTGCCGGACCTGAAGGACCCTGAAGCTGTGCAGAAGTTCTTTTTGGAAGAAATCCAGCTGGGAGAGGAGCTGCTGTCACAAGGTGGAGCAAGTTGGCACATGATGCGTTCAAGGATCACTAACATCACATGTTGGCTGTTGACACCGAACTCAGCGTTCGAGTCTTTTGTTTCTGCACCTTTCAACTCAAAACTGTAACGTCCTGCCTTTTGTTTCTTCGCTCCAGGTGAGTTTGAGAGCTGCGTAGACCACCTGACCAATGCCATCGCGGTGTGTGGTCAACCTCAGCAGCTGCTTCAGGTGCTCCAGCAGACGCTGCCTCCTCCCGTCTTCCAGATGTTGCTCACTAAGCTGCCCACAATCAGCCAGGTGAGTATTTGTTTTCAGCTGCTGCCTGTAGCTTCTGGGACGATGACGGGTGCGTAAACCTTAGAGTCATCCAAAGCTGAGAGCTGTGTGACTGTAGCGTTTAGTTGTTGAAGCTAAAAGAAGCAGAACCCTAACAAAAAGCTAAAATTCCTCAATTAAAAGAAGCTAAAGGTTAGCATGAAAGGAGCAAAATAATAACGAAAAGCATCAAAAGTCTAGATTATAAAGCAGAGAAAGAAGTTATAAGGCAAGAGAAACAAATCCGAAGTAAAAAATTAGCCTAAAAACTTAAAAAAGCTAAATGTAGCAAAATGATAACTAAAAGCTAAATGTATCTAAAGACCAACTACAAGTAGGGCAAGTCTAAATTCAGACGGTATGAAACGAAAAAGCTAAAAGTAAAACAGAATTGAAACGGTAACCAAATGACTACAAGCTAAAAGTAACAAAAGGATAGCTAAAGGAAAAAAATGTTTGCTAGATGCTAAAGGTAATGAAAGGCTAGCTAAAAGCCAAATGACAAAGCTAAAAGATGATTGTTGGAAGCTAAAAGCAGTGAAACGACCACTAAATGTAACAAAATAGTTAAAATTTAAACGTGTCAAAAGGCTAGCTAAAAGTAGACGGAAAAAAGCTAAAGTAACAACACACCAGCTAAAATGAGGCTGACTCGAACCTTAAAGTATATAAGGTAAAAGACAAAAGTAGTAAAGGGCCGGCATGAAGCTAAAATTGACAAAGGGATAGCTAAAAGAAACAAAAGCTAACGGTAGCTTAAGACAATGCTGGCAGATTTAAAAGAGAACAAAGTTTTTAGATTACAGAAATATTTGTAAACAATGTGGAGGGTGGTGGTCGGGGAATTGTTGGTCCGTGACTTTATCTGAATTAATTGTTTGTTTGTTGTTGCAGCGAATCATCAGCTCGCAGCCTTTAACCGAAGACGACGTCGAATGAGCGGACGGGTTCGAAGCAGAACTCTTTTCTTGTTCCTTTAGTGTTTTAAAACCTGGACTTTCCTGCAGTTTGTTCGAGTCGGTTAAAGTTGAAGAACTTCCTCTGCTCCATCAGATTTTTGTTTCCAGGGGAGAGTGGTGACGACGTATTATATTCCTGTTTTAATATCGTGTCAGATATCAGAAAACTGTGCTCTCCGACGACGTCCGTTCATCGTGAGTCAAACGTTTGTACGTTTCGCTCGCCCACTTTTTATGTAAAATCTGAGAATAAAAGATGAAAACACACGTGCGCGTCCTGACCGTGTTTGTTCCAGCAGATGGCAGCAGCCGAGCACGGAAAGACCTGGAACTTTTACCAGGAGACCTGCAGCATGACTTGCATGAGCTTTGTAGCTGGATGTGCTCAGTTCAGGTCTGCGACAGTAACGGGCCTTAACGGAACCATCTCACCTCACGTGCGTTCCTGTGGAACGTCTGCCGCCTGTTGGGGGTCACACCTTAAAATTGAGGTCATGTGCGCTCGTGTTCAGGATGATCCAGCTTCAGTCGTGCTGAATATAGTGACATATTTGTAGTTTTTTGTTTTCTCAGCTCTGGTGGCGTTAGCAGACGGAGTTGACCTCAAACAGTAATGACTTTAGAACAGGACCAGTGTGAGTCTTTGTCAGAACTCGCTGCTGAATCCTGATTTATTGGACTCTTTGGACCAGAAAGGAGCGTGTTGGAGTCGACCTGCTGGTTAGAAACATAAGAATCAACGTTGCCCAAAGAAACCGCCTCATCCTGAAGATATTAGAAATGATAAAAAGTTGTTTTTGGTGCTGCGCATATATGTAAGTAGGTCTGTCGCGATAAATCAATTGATCACGATAAATTAAAATTATCAACCTCGTTCATTTATCGTTTCTTTGCGTCTCTTTCTACTGAAGACAACGGATGTTCTTCACTGGCCCCTCCCTTTCTCTTTAAAATCCATTTTAACGATCCAAAATCACGTTTTTGGATCGTTAAAAGCAGCTAAGCTAGCAGGCCGACCTCGGAAAAAACTTACGTCTTGTCGAAGCTCCAAAATTCACGGTTGAAACCGGTGCCTTCGTGTAAAAAGTTGTTTGTCTCTGCAAAAAGAAGCTGAGAACTTGTTTACTGATTTTTTTTTAAATTAAAAGCTTTGTGTGAAAAATGTTATGCTAAAGAGCTCGAACCACACAGAGCGTCCGCCATTTTAAAAATGGAAAAAAAAGGAGACGGCCCATGTCGCCTCAAACGGCCTCTCCTATTTTTCGTAGATGCGATGCTCGCTCCCTCACTATCCATCCTTCAGTTCTGTCTTGTACTGCCATCCGGTGGTCGAAAAAAGGTACTACACTCAAAACAAATTTCAAACTATTATCGTTAATCGCAATAATTTCTGAGACAATTGATTGTCCATCACAATCTGTTATCGTGACAGGTCTATATGTGGTTCGAGTTTATCGGAACAGATCTAGAGTTCCTGCCTCTTCAAACGGCTCGGTCCACAAGGATTCGATGCAGGGGCCGCTTTTAAACCGATGAGGAAAACTTCAGCTCTGGTCCTGTAGAAAGTTCTGCAGCGTCCAGGGTTTAATATCAAACATACAGTAAGGACGCGTGTCGGTAGGAAAAACAGCGTTGTGTCATCGGCGTAAACAAAGATCTGGTGTGATCTGGTTTTGGGGATCAATCTTGGGTTCGGCTGCACCAAACTTCAGCTCAGTGATCAAAACAAAACTCTGCTTTAAAACCAACCAGGAAACTGAATTAGCCCGGGGGAACGTGATCTAAGCATTTCAAATATAAGATCAGACACGGCCAACACTGAACCTGCAACCACATGGGGGAGGTTTCTGAGACCAGCTGAAACATGGACTTGTGCGAGTCCACTGACCCATATTTCTTTAGAGTGAATGGTTGTATTGTGTGTGTGTGTGTGGG